CCCCACACCCCCAACCCCCACACCCACGCCCACCCCCACGCCCACACGCACGCACGCACATACACACGCACACGCACACGCACACGCGCACACTCACTCTCACTCTCACTCTCACTCTCACTCTCACTCTCACACTCACACTCACACTAACACGAACGAACCCAACCCGAGTGTGGGGTTCAGATCGTTTGGGGCTCATGATTGGTTTACATAGGGTCTATGTTGAAGGCATTCTCCTGCATGCTCGAGGTTGGAAAGTTTGTGCAGTGTATCCATTGTGAAGCAAATCAGTGAAAGACTCAACCGAACAGCAGAGAACAGGGTCCTTTTGCGTCCAAGCGGCTGTACCCCCCACCAGAAACGGGGCTCAGGCTGAAAACCTGCTGGCATCATGTTGCACACTTAAGAGCTGACTGCGTCGGCGCATCGAACCTTGTCGAAAATCGCCCGAATTCTGGGCATATGAAACTGGTTGCTGATGACTGTCAGCCTGGACAGTCAGCACAGCACATGCAGCACATGCAACTCATGAGTTCCTTGACGGTTCCTTTGCCTTCTCCAGCCGGCGACATCTGTGTGTGTCGTCCTGCCACAAATTCTGTTGGTTGAAGTAGGGAAGCATCGCAGAGGAACAACAGCGACAGAAACAGTTCGTGTGTGTCGGGAATCCTTAGCATGTAGGCATTTCCAATCCTTGGTGACAGTGATGGGTAGCAACGGAGTACAATAGCCAGCCAAGTAGGGGTCAGTAGCATAGATTCGCATAGATCAAGCAGCCATCTTCATGGACGAAAAGCTCAGACTCGGTCGTGTCCAAAGACCAGCTTTCCTCAAACACATCCTGCGGCCAGGCGTTCTACGGTTCTGGCTCGGGCTGTGAGAGAGAGGTACATTGGACAAACAGAAACCGAGGAACGCCCCGCAGTTTGCAATTCTAAGTTTCAACAACGCTCTGTGGACCTCGTGGCACAGCAACTAAGGAGCGGCTAGAGCTTAAGCAAGTAAGGACCAGATTCGGAAGAAGTCTTTGCCAAGTCCCGTCCTCGGGGGGTAGTTCGAAATCTCGTATTAGGCACCGTGCGTTGGCCTGGAGAGATTTGCGGTTGACTTGCGTCCCGACCGTGATGCACACAGCCTCTGCAACGTTCGAGCTCGGTCAATGTGAGCTGCCATTGCTTATTTCTCGTAGTTCGTTGTTGTGGAGAGGGAAGCATGCAACTGACGAGTATGTCGAACTCTTCAACTCCTTTTTACGGCTAACTCCCTGTTGCACTGAGATCGCGCCTCAGCTTCCAACACCTGGAAGCCGGAGTGAGGATCACGCGGCATTGGCCTTTCTAACAATAGTTCAATTCTGCACTTAGCCGATCGCAGGAAAGGCTTGAACTCCACAACAGAAACAAAGGTGAGAGGAGCAACACTTTGCCACATGCTGCCGTGTTGTGTCACATTGCCTATCTCTCTTCAGCAGCTATGGACAACACTTGTGCGGGGTGCCAGCTGAGAGCGTCATCACCTCGCGCACAATGCTCGCCGTTCCATGCTGTTTCGGGCATGACTTGCCATCGCTATCACAGGTTCAGCAGCTGACCACAGCTTTCTGACCGGATTTCATCTCAGCAAAGTAGATGCTGGCGGCCTCATCGAATGGTGTGCGACTTCTTCGTTATGATTGCCAAGGATTGCCAAGGCCTCCTGAAGTCTCCTTCGCACCTGCTTGGCAAGCAGTTGCATGGCAACCAGAAGCCTCTTGCAGCACACTGGAAACAGAAACATTGGCTGGGCACCCACTGCGGAGGAAGCCCATCACTGGTCAGCCCTCCGCCAGGCACCACCACCTGACAGCACTTGTAACAAGTGGATCGTGACACCTGCTGTGCGGTGAACAGGAAGCGTGGCGGTGCCACAAGGTGCGGTGTGGTGCCTTCCACTGAGTCTTCCTAGGCTTTGTCAGCTGACCAAGTTGGCATCAGCATGAACCAGAATTGCCATTCGTCGGCTCACTTCACAACTTCTCGTTCTTGGGTTCTGGCAGTGGAGTTCATCCTGATGAGCAGAATCAGTGCACCACCGATACCCCCGTAAAGAAGCAGCCACTTCATCCTGCCATCCCAGATGATCCTCATGTTGAGTAGCCTACGATAAGACAAGATTTCAGCAGTCTTCGGGACTTGCCTGTAGATGAGGGCTGCTGCCTGCTTGCAGGCCTGGGGGACTTTCCAGCACAGATCAGCCCTCTGTGGAGGCATGCGCGCATCTCAGGCTGGCACAGGGCCCATCCCAGGCAGCACTTCAGAAATTGCGGGGGGGGCCCCATACTATGGGTAGCTGCGGATCGCCTGCTCATGTGGCTCATCATCTTCCCGACTGTGGTGTCCTGGCTGCTAGCATGATGCACATACCCCCTGTCAACGAGACCGGAAGCTGAGCCAAGGGGACAAACAAATTGGAGCTGAGGCATCACAAGGGCAGGGCAGGATTGCAGTGTTACGTGCAGACACTCCCTGTTTTCAGGCATGGTCTGGCACAGCAGCCAGTGCCAAAGAAGCCATTAAAGTTGGATCAGTGGGACCTGGGAACAAAATGCACATCCATCAGTACCGACAATTCTTAGAAGCGTTCAGGCTTTCAAAGCTCGGCCAGATGAAAATTTAGAGCAGCCAGCTTATGGATATGCGAGGACCCAGTGGCAACCTCGAAGGCTCAAAGGCCAGTCTCAAGAAAACTTGAGTCCGAGCGAGAAGCGCTCTCTGCAAAACTCTCCACAAATTAACAGAAAGCCGCGGCTTCAGGAAGTCGGACTGGGCAATGCCTAGACGGCCAATCACCTCAGTCTTCAACATGACCGATGGAAAGGACGGATTCTGCTTCGGACTCATTCCTGTCATTCCTGTCTCTGTGCAGCTTCGTCACTCGCAAAAGGCCTCCGCCCAAAGCTGCCCACGACTCAAGCACCGAAACCATGCGCAAAGAGGTGAGATGCACCTTTTGCCCTGTCTAAGCACATGCTACCTTGTTGCCAGTGGGCTTAGGGCTTACTCCTATCGTGATCGTACTTTGGGATTCCTGTCATCACATGGCACACTACAGCCAGCAACACATGAAACCGAAGGCCAGCGAGGCCCAGCATCGCGGGCTCAAAGGCCGCAGAGAGGCCACAGCGTAGCACTTCACAGCTGCGATTTTTTGCAGTCGTGGCTTTGCCACCCGGAAAATGGAAAGGAGATGCGCTGCTCCAAAGAAGGCGAAGCGCTTAGAGATGTGAACGCTTAACTTCTGGACATATCGAGAAAGTCGAACAATACGATGGCCATCTGAACACAGAAACGACTTGTACAGCTAAGCTCACAGCTGTCTTCGCAAGTTCCTCAGGTGAGGGTGCGATGTGTTGGTAGACTTTGCAATGTTGCACGATCGGCAGTCATAAAGCATGCTCTTGACGTTTGAAACAAAGCAAAGGCCGACAACGTAGAATCACAATTACAATCACCCTCACACACGCTCTTGGTCTTGACTCACAGATTTACATGATGCCTTAGAGGATCACGCGTCTCTGCAGTCAGATTTCTCTGATTCGCCGAGCCCCTGGCAAAACTGCACGCGCTGCGAAAGCCGCTAGGCGTATGACTCCTTCGGATTGGCCTTGAGAACTTCTTCCTGGAGTGCCAAGATTCTGAGATTCCCGCCGACAGGGCCACAACAAAGCAAAGGAAAGTCAACGAAGCTCTTGTGGACTTCTGCTCTTTTTTCTCTGTTTGCACTCTTGCAAGTTCATCGCGGGAGACTGACCGATGTCAGGGTGAGCTGAAATGGCTTCCTCGATTGCCTGCAAGACGGGCGCACCACTGTGCGACCTAGGACCTATCAAGAAGTGCCCTTGCACGTGCTGCTTTCACGAAGCTGCCTGCTGAAGCCGCAGACCGAAATCTCCAGAATATCTGGCTCAGGGATGGAAGTGTGAATTCTGCCGCAAGCATGCCGCATCACACAGAAGAGCACTGCTTGGAACACGGCACCAACAAGTTCAACTGGTCAGCAAGACCTCTTCGCTCGCTCACAGTTCTGCTGCGCTGCTTGTTGACGAGCTTCGTAATCGGCTGCGTCAAGGCTTGTTTGTCACAGGGCTTTGTGCAAGCTATCGGGCCAGAAAGCTTCGTTTCACCCAACGGCGCCTGGGCAAAGACGGCTGCACACCGACATGACCTTCATGCCACCGCGTCAATGCAGGGTCTGAAGGGTTGCAAAGAAGGTAAAGAAGGCTAACCATGCGGGTGCCTCGTCGATGTCAGTGCCGTTGATGATGATTATGCCGGCCTCGGTGTCTCAATGCCACACAAAGATTTGAATTATGAGTATGAATGCTTGGTAATGTCTGGGTTTCTATTAATGTGTATTTTGCATGTGTTCTTTTTTGTTTCGTGTTTGTTTTGTGACCTGCTTTGTCCACAGATTCCGGGAGGCGGATTGCAGATATTCCACAGATTCTGAACCAACAAAAACTAAAGGCCACAGATTCGCACAGATTTTCCGCAGAAATACTTCCTCAGACCCTTCGCAGACACTTGCCAAGTTCTTAGAAGAAACTTGTGGTCATGGTTGATTACTCACACAACTGCTTGACAAAACCACAGGCCAATTGTTGAAAGCAAAAGCCGTTTCCATAGACACTAACTCCATACCGTCCGAGTTCAGGCAGGCCAGAACAAATTCAAGCAGGTACTCGTAAGTCACGTCCAGCCCCCGAAATGCGATGCGCAATGTCCGGGCTGCCGATTCACCTACACTGCCTTCCTGAGAGCTGGGGGTTGGTCTTTGCTGGGTTGGGGCTCCCCTTGGGACATCGCATCCGGCTGAGTCCGTTCGCGCTATTGGACCTGATGTGATTCGACCCAAGGTGCCACCGCCCCAGATGTAAGGTTGCCGAATCGTCCCAAAAAGACCTTTCAGATGGCCTCTGTTCACCGAGGCTAAACGTCGAGAGCCCGTGCTGGAGTCGGTGCCGAAAGCCACAAGAACTTCCCTGACCCGTGGTGCTCATGGGTGACCGGTGAGTCGGGAAATGAATCAAAAACAGAGTGGACCGAGTCCGAAAACAGAAAAGGCAGAGTCAGAAAACAGGACAGCACGAGTCAGACATTCAGAAAACAAGACTTCCCCACGAACACACGAATCGACTGTGTCCAGATTGTGTCCATCTAGAGCATCTCTAAAACCCTGAAACCCTAAACCTTCCAATTAAGACCGTAAACCCCAAACCCCGAAACCCTGAAACTCTAAGCCGATCATCAACCTTTCCGGGCTTTTTCGTGCGCACATTCACACCCGATAGGACTTGAGATTTGAGGGTGTAACATGGTCTCTCTGTTCTTGTAGAGGCGTGATACTGCCGTTGCTCAGCACTGTCATCGAGCCACCCTGAGCACCAAGTCCAAGCGGCTGCATCGAAGAAGTCGCCGATGTTTGGGCCTCGCGTTGAAAGACTCGAGGCATCGTGAGTTACGCTTTGCAGCAGGCTTTTGCTGGGGAGCCAACACCCCCAGTAGATGGGGATGGACTGCGTGAGCTGCAGTACGGAGGAGCAGGCACAGCGTTCTCAGGGTGGCCCCGCAATGACTTCCGAAGCATGGCAGAGTAGCCAGAGTGTCGAGGAGCTTTTCAGAGAAGTAATTCTGATGCCTCGAGTTCTCGATCACCTGACCGAAGACAAACTAACATGGATGAGCCACAAACTCATCACGACCCTGGCAAATCCTACTCGAGAAGCAACACCTCTAACAATTAGCACCACTTCGATTGGCTTTGCGTTGTTGACTGCGCTGCATGGCACCAGCACAAATTGGTTGAAGAACTGGATGTTGCGCTCGTCTCGACTGATTCCTCCACCCGCCAGAAACTCGAGTGGCACCTGCGCCACTTGCATGTTGCACAAAGGCTCAGCGTGACAGTGCATGGTGGGATACATTGGGATACCAGCAGCTGCTACTGCAACAGCTCACCTTGGATATGTCTTGGAGTTGCTGCCGAGCCTGCAAGTAGCCAGGAGTTCGCCCCACAACAAAACGACACATGTCAGAATCGCAGCCTAGCACGGAGCCTCCCAAATCCGATGGCGCAGTTGGTGTCCAGCTGTTTGGTTCTTGCTACCTTGCACGAGCGACTAGATGATGCTGGACCAACCGGACTCGGAACAATCCTTGAAGACTCAGACCTCGCAGAAATCCCAGGCCAGGCTTTTTGCTCGCAAACCGAGGCCACTCTACCTGAGCATGTTACAATCAATGTCAGAGCAGTCAGTTTTATTGAAAAAAGTGACAGGGATGCCACTTGTACCAGCCAGGGAGTTGCAGGCACGAAGAAGCGCGACTGCTGGAGATCCTTGGCTTCAAGCAGGCGGACTTGAAGAGGCTTGAAGAGGCTCGAAGCACGCAGGTGCTAGCACATATCAGCACAACAACGTAAGCACTGCACTCATCGTGCCCAAACTCTCCCTCCTTCTCTCTCTCTCTCTCTCTCTTTCTCTCGCTCTCTTGCTCTTCTTTTTCTTCTACCATCCAGCGAAGATGAACCCCCAGCGCGGGTGCCACAAACACATGTTTTGGCAAAAGTGTGTGTGTGTGTGTGTGTGTGCGTGCTCCACTCTCCACTCTCTCTCTCTCTCTCTTGCTTGCTTGCTTGCTTGCTTGCTTGCTTGCTTGCTTGCTTGCTTGCTTGCTTGCTTGTGCGTATGACTTTCAAGAGGGGGGCCGCCCCGAGGGGCACGCTCAACATTGTCAGTCGGAGTGAGAATGGTGTTCGGTGGGAGTGGGCCTTCAGGGACAAGTGGGTGAACTTAGGCCAAGACCAGGGACATGAGGTTGTTTGTTTTCGTATTGGTAAGAAGAATCTCCCACCTGAGTACATTGACTCGAACACCTTGGGGCTACCCTGCACTTTCTGTGGATGCCAAGCGTTGAAGCTTCAAAGGAGCTTGTCTACTAACCTCCCATAGATCGTGCAACTCAACCAGTCCCCTATTCACTCCCTGTCAAGCTTGGTGCTCCCTTCACCCCTCCACAATGCTGACGACTTGCTTTGGCTTATTGATCACCCTTAGTAGTTAGGTTAACGTAAACTAGCTCTCTCGCAAGTCTGATTGTGGGCTGTTCAGGGTGGATGGTGGTGTGCTTCTGGGGTATCCCTCCTGTGCCTTTCCATTGCGTGGTAAGGACACAACAGCTTGACATACAGGGGGGACAACATGACATTCTGGCGACTTATCAGGGCGCGGGATTTTCCACGTGAGTGCATTGACTCAGACACTGTGAGGCTACAGTGCACTGTACTCGGATGCCGGGCCCTGTAACATAGCTCCCCAACCTCCCTACAGCCCCTTCTCCCTGTTGGGCTCGCTTCGCTCCTCCACAACGCCGGCGACTTGCTTTGACCCACCCGAAAGTACTGATAGCATGTCCTCAACACACCAACCGCCAACTTAACGGGAGACTCTCTCTCGCAAGTCTGGTTGTGGGCTGTTCAGGGTGGAAAATGGCACGCTACTTTGGGGTAGTTTATTCGGCGCCGTTCACTTTTGGGGTAAGGGTGGAGACAGCTTGCCATACATTTGGGGCAGTAGGTATAGGGTGACACAGCACTTCCTCATTGAGCTCCCGCGTGTTGTTAAGGTTAGGCAAGGGTCAACTGGGCAAATTGTTTATAGGGGAGCCGTCAATGTCGGACGGTTTGCATCCTGTTTGTGAGTTCGTCTGCAATTTTGTTCAGGGTAACTGCCGAGAAACAGCTTGCCAGACTTTGGGGGAACTTCCGCTCAGGTGGGAACTAAGGGGTTGAGATAAAGTACAGCTGCTAGACTGCCTCACTTTAGTCTCCACGAAACTCCCAGTCCCTTACGATGTTCAGGTAGTGGGTGTAGGTGAGGAGGTAGGAAAGGACGTGGTCGTTGTGGTTCTTCTGGCGCTGGTCGGGGCCATGGTTATGTCTCTGGTGTGCTCTCCGGGTCGTTGTTAGTGTTGGGCAGGCACGCGGCATGCCAGATGGAATCTCTCTCGCCTCTCACCACAAATTCAGTCCCGCAAACGAACTGAGAACAGCTTCGAGGTGGGCAGGCGCTGTTTACATCCCACCTGAAACTGTCCTAGGACAGCCGCAGCGTGCGGTAACATGGATTCTTTTGCTGTTTGTGAGGGTTCTGAATTTTCATAGGACAACATGGCTCATCTAATCGCTTCCCCCTGACGCTAAAACCCCTCCTAATTTTGAATATATCTTTCCCGGACCCTGCCGGCACCCAGGTCAGGGGGGAGGGGTTCAGGGCCTTCGCCCTTGAGTTGAGCCATTAGGGTTTCAGGGTTTAGACAGGATTAGGATCCAGGGCTCAGGGCTTAGAGGGTTTAAGTATTAGGTTTCGGAATTCAGGTTTTAGGATTTAGACACCCCCGGCGAATTTCAGAATTAGGGAACGGGGGGGGGGGGGAGGGATTTAGTAAGAGGGGGAAGGGATAAGAGGTTCAAGCTTACCCCAAACCCTAAACCCGTCGGGTCCGGGTGATGAGAAACTGCACTCTGCAGGAATCGTGGGGCCAAGCATCGGTGCGTTGGTTTGCGACAAGGAAGGGCCTTGACGAGCCTCGCAGACGGCTCGCCCTTGCGAAGCGAAGGCGCCGGCTGAAAAGTTCGCAGCAAGTGGCCAAGGCCACTCGGGCAGCCACTGCCGGCGAAGGCCAACTCCCAAAGTCTCAGCAACGTTGCGCCCTTTCCGAGGCTTTGTCGGCCTCGTAGCGCTGGATCAGCGGGCCCATCCAATTTCTGCAAATCGTCCCAAGTCGGAACATGTGTCGGATTTTGCTCGAAGTATGCCTGAAGACCAGCCTCCACCGAAGAACGAAGCGGCAGTGACATTGCAGATAAGATGGCGTGTAGGTCATCAGCGAGATCCCCCGTGAGGTTGGCAGAAAAAGTTGTCGCCTTTGTGCAGGAAGAACGGTGAAGCCGTGCCTGGCATCGGGGTGAACATCTTCGGCAGCCTGCGTGCCTGCTTCGCCCTCGTCGGGCTCGCCAAGGGCAGCTTCGCCGATCATGCCCGTGACCTGGATAAGGCTCCACGGGGGTCAGGGCCAACGCATAGGCCGGCGGTGGTGGGGCCACAACCGGCAATGACCTGTAATTAGCCTGCCCCTTCTGGCCGGTCAGGCGATGGCGATGGCGTGCAGGAGAAAGAGTACGAGTCCTGCGCGGACGCGCTGCCGCTGTCCTCGTCTGCCTCGCGTCTGCAATGACACTGCAATGACACGGATCTTAAAGAGTCGGCTGTGACCCTGGTCGACAGAAGTGACCTGCGCAGCATGTGCCCCCTGATCGCGAGAACTTGGACTGGCACTTCATCCAAACTGCTTGCGGACTCCTGGATGTGCCCGTGAGCTCTCGCCCTGGACGCCTGGATGTGCCCGTGAGCTGTCGCCCTCACCACCTCCCTTCAGCCCGCTGTGGCCCGAATCGCTGCTCCGGATGGGAAGTGTTCCGGAGGTCCTGAGCCATCACCCCCACCTGCGCCAGGATCAGAACTAGGCATAGTTCTGACCTCAGCACCCTCCCGGGCCCGAAATCGCTTCTCCTGGGAGCACTCCAGACATCGTCACTCCTTCCCCTGAGCCACCACCAGCACTGGTCAGCCCATCTGGGCCGGACATGGTCCCATGGTCCCTGCTGGATGCTCTTCCGACATGGCGCGATTGCGCCATTTGTGCTCCCCCAAACGCTGACAGGTGTATCACACTGTAAAGCTACTGTACCATGTCTATCGTCTAGTGATCCTTAAAGGGATTCCGCTGATAGTGAACTTGTGTGTTTCCTGGCATTCAAGCAAAGATGTCTACCAACAAATGCAAGGAATGACAAGCTTGAACCAAAATGGTCTCTCTCTCTCTCTCTTTCGCTCGCTCGCCGCTCGCACGCTCGCTCACTCAGCCCACTGCGAGATGGTCTTGGTGCCAGGTCAGAACTAAGTCGAATCCCTGGCCGAAGGCGAGCCATGCATTCAATGCATTCCAGCACCGATTTAAAGGATCTGGCATGTATGCTTGAGATGGCAACCTCCAGCTGCAAGTTCTTCAAGTCCGGCGGCTCTTGCACGACCAGAACCTTTTCAGTGCTATCTCATAGGTAGGCTTGTTTGTTTGGGGTTTTATGTAGGTGCCAAATGCCAAAACCGTACCAACACATGTGGAAACCCGAACAGCCTAGAGCAAAACTCCACCAACACTCGACAGACCAATCAGCCACAACAGTGCTGTTCAACGCATCTGGAATATGCTGCGGACAAATGCCGCAGAGCGCGTAGAGCTGTTACCCATGCTGCGACCTTGGGGCCCCCCTCGGTTCTAGAGGCGGCACCAGCTCCGATCGCCACAAGTCCCTGGGGCGGGGGTGCTGGTGACTTGAGAGCTCCGCGTACTCTGCAGTCTGGGTCTGAGCAGGTCACCAAGGCATCGTTTCCAAGACTCCAGGATACTCCAGGGGTCGTCCAGGATCTGCATTGTGCCTGTGGACTTCCTGGGGCCGTAATGGGGCGGCCCTAATGGGGCCTCCGCCGTGAGCTTTCTGAGAAGCTCCGAGAAGCCTTTCAATCCAGCTGCGGGTCCATTTCGGAAGCTTGCTTGAGGACATCTCCGGCTGTGAAGTCGCGATCGTCTTCTGCAAGCTGCATGTGTGCAGCAGCTTGGACCAGGACAAAGGCCAAAGCCTTGGCCAACTTTTCTGCAGACTCCTTCGAGTCCTTCTCTGTTGCTTCGAGGACTCTTCGGGTTGCCCGGTCCAAGCCCTTTGCCAGCCTTGCATGTGTCAGCTCATCCCAAGACTCTCCCAACTGGACACGCCGTGCTGCCAGGCTGTCACGGAGGTCTGTGAAAGCTCCACCGCAGCTGGCCGGCACGAAGAGAGATGTTGTTATGCCAATGCTCTTGCTTCGATCGATGTCGAGCAATGGCAGCCACTCCACTCGGGAGGATGTCGTACCAGCCGAGTGCACCAGGGCCACTTGGTGTTCCGGCAAGAAGGTGCTCAAAAGGACAAGCTTCAATGCATTGGCCGAGATTTGATCATCCACCTGAGAAATCAGCAGTGGTGAGTTGCACTCGAAGGGGAGGGTCTGGAAGCCTACTATCTCGTAGGCATCACCCACAACGAGTCTTGGAAGCATGTCCACACCTAGTGCGGCCAGCGAAGGTTCCACGAAGCTCACGCCAGGAAGTAAATCTACAGTCATTCCTTTGGATGCACTCCTTCTTCGAATAAGATCCGTGGTGGTTTCGCCCACACAGGGATCCCCAGGAACTGCATACACAACTTCACCATGCTCCTCTGCTAGCTGCAAAATCCTGTCCGAAATGTTGCTGTACAGTTGTTCGAAGGTCTCAGCTTCTTCATAGTACTGGTCAAAGGTTGTGAGAGCTACAGATGCCGGAAGGGATTCCAAGACAGGATGCTTTGCAAAGCGTGCATATACATGCTTCGAGTTGCACAATTGGCTCCACACACCTTGTGTCAAGTGCTTCGGGTCCCCAGGCCCCAAACCTGCAATGATGATCCGCGGTGCGCATGTTGATCCTGGCAGTACCACGCACCAAACAAGGCCCAGGGATAGCACCGCTGCGACCTTTCGAAGCTTCTGGGGAAAACCGAATGGACTAGGCATCTCGCGTGTGCTTGGGCCACAAGCTCTCATCAATTGAGCAGAAGATTGAGCCTGCCGAAAACACCTTGCACTGATGCCTAAGGTGCCCAAGTTAATGCACGGCTACGTCTCCGAAGAACAGCGCAATAAGGCTTCGGCCTTCAGCGTGTACTTTGACTTTGCAGGCCGAAGCCTGAAGTCCACGTCCAACCAAACTTCGGCCTTCGTGAAGTTTTTTCATGCTCTCAGAGTCTCCTTACAGTACTTACAACCTTCTCTGACCACAGTCTTGAGGAGAGTCCAGTGAACCGCGATTGAGGAAGCAGCTTTGCGACTCAGCCGAATGGAGAGAACTCCGCAGTTTGCCAGTTCCTGGAGGGCTGTCTGCAGCGAGCGGGATGGAATGGTACCAGTATGTCTAGTGAGTCTAGTGCAAAGAGGCTCCTCCTGCAGTTGCAGATCCTCACTTCCCAGATGTCCAGCAAGAACAGACAGGGCTTCACTGGCACGGCAGCCGCGCTACGTGCATCCACTCCCAGGTCACAAGAATTCACAACATCTGGCGACTCATCTTACGTACGTTGCCCCTTTTCCCCGGTGTTACGTGCTGTCGCGCCTGTGGTTCAAGCTTTGGTGCACCGCTGCCAGCATTGGCCGAAAGCGCTTTCAGCAAAGCTTTTCGGTGCGAAGTCAGACCGGGTACGACCCTCATTGAGATACATGGAGCTTGATGATTGCAAGTGTCTCAAGGGTCCATCTCAAATGCTACGTACATCTACTTATCGTCATGCTTTCACGTGTACCAGAAGCTGGAGCCCGAGATGCAGCCACAACATCTTGTAACAACTTGTAACATCTTCCCCCACAGGACTGTTGGACCCAGCGAGGTGATGTCCTCACGATGGATCAGCTTGTACTGCAGGACGGTCTCTGCCAGGCCGGGCGTTAGCCTCGCAGAGGTTCTTGAGGCTCTTGACTCTGAACAGAAAGGTGAGGTGTTGTTTAGGCAGGTCAGTGTGCTGCTTTCTCCAGTTTGGTCATCATGTCTCGTGCCTTGTTGTGCCTGATCCGAACACTGCTGCCTCCAGCTCTGTGAGTCCGGACAGGTGTTCCAGCACCGCACATGCACTGCACCTACCACCAAGAGCCCGCTTACAAGCCTGGTAAGCGAGCACCAGCTTGGCAAGCTGGCGGCCAGAGAACCCATCCGTCCGCTTGGCAACCTGCTTCAACACATACTATGGGCCAGTAGCTTTTTTCATTCGGCTCGAGCGGGTGACTCTACCCACATACAGCTTTGGGCTGGATTCGCACCGACTGCAAAAGTGCAGGGCACATCTGTGAAACGACCACGACATGAAGCATGCATTGATTCTACCTGAGCCTACCTGTGAAGCACATGCCCTGTACAACTGCCGGAGTTAAGCTCTCTAGAGTCTCTTATGATCTAGGCATTCCCGAATAGTAAATTTGCCAGGGTTCGATCATGAAGCCATAGGTGACATCAACAAACATTACACAGTTGTACCCGGTGAAGCTACTGCTCCTATAGCATCCGCACGCGCTGATGCTCTCGCTATCCGGCAGCTGCTTGGCACGAAGAGCAGTCGTCTTGTCAGTACAGGTTCAAGTAGTTTGCCACCAGCAGCAAGTCCTGAGTTGTCTTGTGGCCGTACTGGGAATCAAAATTTCGTCGTGCGTACAGCTGCCTAGTGAGGATCTGAATCCGTGCCCCAAGACCACGATTTCTGATGTGCACGATAAGGGCACCCCGGTACTGGTAGCTTTGCTGCCGCGGCTCTAGCACAACATCATCATCAATGGGAAACTCCGGAATTGGCACCTGCAGTGTGCCAAAAAAAACAGCACTTGCCTCTCTGTCGGTGGCTGTCCTGGACGCCCTCACCACACTCAGGAAGAGAATTGAACACGGCACCTTGGCATCTGTGTACTTATACTTGAAGTACAAGTACTCAATGACCTGGGCGAGCGAAGCAGAATGTAGAGAGTTCAGCTCCCACGCTTCCACGCTTCAACTCCAGCCTTCTCAAGCAACTTGCCAGTGATCGTTGGCAGCTGTATCTCGTTCGTTTGACCTTCTTTGAAGCCCTCCTCGATATCCAGCGTGCACTCTGTCACTCACAAGCAAGGAAGAGGCTCTGCGTGAAAAACTGCCATGCATCTCCTTTTCGACCATTTTTTTGAAGGTGTCGCACTCGTATGCGATGCGTCTATCCTGGGAACAAAGCTTATGGCTCTCCCTTGCCTGTCAAGTCGCATGTCTTGTGAAGACAGATGCCGGCATGTCAGCTTCTGCAACAGCGTGTCCAGGAAGAACTCGTGGCCATCTGCGCTGACCAGTTTTAAATACCTGTTCGTGAGGTGGCATGCAGGAACAAGGGGCAGTGGTTTCAGAGCGACTGTTCTTGCAGAGCACGAGAAGGTCTCCACTGGATCCAAATGCGGATTGTCCATGTCAATATTTGCCTGAGCTCGGGTACGATGAACGGTCGCACGTGGAGACATCAGCTGCGCAGCAAACATCGACTATCAAGTTCGAATACTCCGATCCAAACGGCCATCTTCCCCGCACCCTTTTTGGAAGAGGGGAGCGTCCTTGAGCCCACGCTGCGCCATTGCAGCACCAGATCAAACTTTCGAGCCAAGCGACGTCAGTGCACAAGAGCTACGCCATTGAGAGCGTTTTTTTGAAGCATTGGAGGTTGGGCAGATTGGGCCTGTTCTAAGAAGCTGTCATCCAGAGCTTGGTCCACCTGCAAGCTCTGATTTGTAAAACAAGCCAACTGAGCATCTCATATCGTCATATCATCTCATGCTATGTCCAACCTCAATGACCTTGCCGCGCTTGGTGGGCGTGTGGATATGCTCCTTCAAAGAAACGCAGTACGTTCGCTGAGCTGGCTGGCAGAGGCAATCGACACCTCCATGAACATTGCCAGCATCCTCTTGCGCTCCTGGCCACAAACTCGCAATATGACCCACTATGACACAATGTGGCGGGCTGCAAGTGTTCTCTATCGTGTGCCTCTAGACTGGGCAAGGGAAACTCGAAGTTCTCGTCCTGGTTCCATGTGCATCGTCCAAGATCTTGTGATGATGTAGGAAGGTCGCTGAGGCGCATGCTATGCGATCAAGCACTGCTCTATCGAGGATTTCTCGGATGTTGGTGGCCAGCACTACAACAAACCTGTCGTGCCGCGCCAATGCTGCGCCAATGCTGCAGGACTCGACTCGCGACATGACACCTTCAAGTGGAAACAATGGGGGGGGCAACCCGCTCAGACAATGTGCCGGCCAGACTTGTCGCTTTCTGTGCCAGTGTGGTGCAAGAAGGCCGACAGCACATTCCTTGCCTTCGAACTGCAGATCTTGATCACATTCAGGAGCCAGCATGCAAGCCAGCTGCCCCGCTACGATTGATGCGTTTTGCAACGGAGTGCGGATTCAGATTCATTTCGGTGCGTCAATGGTAGAGAAGCAAGCCATTTAGGCCAACAGCATTCAGATCCGGCAGAGGATTCCGGAAGCCGTGACAGCACGCGAGCCACACCAAGGACTCAAGGCCTCTTCGCTCATCGAGCCGGTGTCGGAACCTCTGCCGGTACGAAGGAAGGCATCAGCCTTGCAAAATGCAAGGCTGGCTGTGAGGCTGTCACCGAACGCCCTTGCACAGCCCTGGCAAACCGGGTTCCTCGTCGATGAACAAGATGAGCCCGCGCCTTCAGACAAGTCTCAGAAGCTTCGGGATTACAGTGCCATGCCGTTCTGCGAAGAAAAGAGCCCGGCCTGGATGAGTTGGCCCAGGAGAACAGCTTGTTCAGCTCGTGTACCTCTTCTGACCCGAGTGTTAGTGCTGCTACCGCCACATTGACAGGCCGTCACTTGTGCAAGCGCGTGCAACCGGCGGCTCTTTTGGTGAGTTGCCTCATTTTTGCCCCCTGTTTGAGCACAGGCTCCACGTTTCTACAGCCTCGTCTTGCTTGTACAGCGCAGCAACTCCGGCACCTTGTCCTCGAGGAACTTTTGGTGTTTTCCTGGTCCTCTCTGGTTCCTCACACATCCTCGGAACAGTTCGACATGTTCGAACCCTTTTCTTCTCCGTAGCTGTTCCAAGCTGTGCCAGGCTGTGCTATTCACGCCACGAGATGCCTCCGCGGCCGAGATCAGAAGCGATGGTTGGCACCCCGTGGCCTGAACCCTGCATGCGGAGGCTTGGGATCGCGATGTGCCGCATGCGTAGCCTTCCGATCTGGGGCTGGGCTTCGACTGCAGCTGCGAGATCGAGAGCTGTGAGCACTCAAGGTCCGCTTTTCTTGCAGCCTCTTGAGAGCGGCTGCGGCTCGGTCGGCCTTGGATAGAGTTGAACTGTCCTTCCGCTTGCGCCCAAAGTCATCATAATCAAACTCATCGTGTTTTGGCTGTCGGCGCTCAACTTCCTGTCGGTCGTTGTAGCCTGCCGCAGTTTCAGGCAGATGCAGGTTTGCCAGCTGCTCCAGATCTACAATGCGATTGTGCAACCCTGGCAGTAGACTAAGTAGAACGTAGTCGAGTTGGCAGGTGTGTACAAACCGTAAGACAGATGCCGTGCTACTGATCATATCAGGTCCCGTGCATGCTGCGTGTTAGTGTGTTGGTAACTACTTGGGACCTCCGCCCCGGCCACCCTCTGCCGTTCGTTGCTTCTTGCGCTCCTCCGCCTCGCGCTTCGTTCGTTCGGCAAACTCCTCCATCCTAGTGGCTGGCAGGACTCAGCAGATCCAAAGGTGAGACTTGTTCAGCACAAAATCTAGCTACGAACCGAGTTACTAGTTGGTTCGACTTGGACCAAGAAGCGGTTTGGCCTGCTTGGCGGCAATTGTCGCCCGGGACTGGCCGCCAATCGGGTCATGGATCGTGCCGGGCATTGTGCTCCAATGGAAGAATTTTACATAATCCGATACAAGGCTCAGATGCACTTCCAATGCGGAATCTCTTTGTTTGGATGCCAGGTCTCTCATCATATGCAAAAGCGTGTTCTGCTTTGCAATATGTTGTTTCGTACGACTTCGTCTAGAAGGACCTGCATCATCACGTTACATTCCGTGTGCAATTATTCACTTTCAAATCTAGCTCGCCTTCTGTAGCCTTGCTGCAGAAGAGAAGACATGGAATGATGTTGTGGTCTAGATACGTGTGTCATACAGCTCGCGGAACAGAAGCTGGATCGAGCTTCGGAAGGCACTCACGTGAAGCGGGAACGTTCCCCTCATGTGCAAACGAGCACCCTCGATAACGACAATGCCAGACTGCAAGTGGTGTATTATTCAGCAATGCCCTAAGCGACGATGATTTGCATTTCAGCACGTGCACGGCATAGCACAACAGCGAGGGATCAGGGTACACACCCGCACTGGCCAGTGATCAAAGCTGCTGTTTTTCCAAAGCCCATGCCATTTGACACCATCCCAAGGCGAAAGCCCGTGCACCCCAAAGCATGGATGTCGAGGGCCAGAATCCATGCACCGAATCGAAGTCTGCCACCAGTCGCCCATCATGACACTGCAGGCACGGCAAGCCGGAAAACTTGTGAGCCGACGGCAACGAAATTTCTGCGCTGGCAAATTGACATGCGCTCAAAGCTTGTGGGTTGGCACTGCCTGGAAAACGCCCTACCCCTGGAGCACAGCCTTGTGCACGATCTTTCAAGACACCCCGCACCCGTGTAGCTACCTGTTACCTAGCCCTTGACTACTACCCAGTATCACTTCTAAAACCGATGATCCTCAAGCCACTCTCTTGTATCGAGATTGACCAAGGCTGATGGCGCACGGCATCTTTTCCAAGTGGCCCGACGTCTCCACCAGACATGATGGCATAGTCTAGGCCTGAGACGCAAGGCAAGGCAGAAGCTGAAACTCAGATTAGACTCTGATGTCCGAGGACTGCGCCGGACTGCCTGGCAAGCGTCCGAGCAAAGAGTGTCTTGCCCGTTCCGGGGGGTCCGTGCAGGAGGAGATGCCTGTTTCGGAGCGTCTTTCCCATGTAATGTGCGTTGAGCTGCTCAGCCTGCCTGTATGGCGTGCCATTCTTCTTCGCGTTGACCAGAGAATTGGTTGTCCACTGCAGCCTCTCCGACAAGTCGTCCTGCCGAGTGTGATGTTCGGATATGCGCGGTCTTCCGGGTCAGCCTTTGCAAAAGGTAAAAGTGTGCAAAACAGCAGTGAGCAAACAGCCTCCAAAACAATCTTCTCCAGGAAGCCGCCCTGCTTCTTGGAGGAGATGAAGCTCGCTAGGCCATCGCGGCCTGGCGCCCACTTCCCCCCCACTTCCTAGCCGAGGTTATCATAGGTTCGGCGCTCTTAGGCTGATCTGGGCTCCAGAACCCCATGTCATTCGCGATGTCTCCCGCACCAAAGGAGGGCGCATCAACCGCCTGCAGCTGGAAAAGCAGCACAGGCTTTTGAGAATGATCCGACAAGAGAGTGATTGAAGCTTTTTGCCAAAGATAGCTGCCAGGCCAGCTTTGAATCCTTGAGTGTCTTTGAGCTCGAAGATGCCATGAAAATTGAGCCGCATTCTGAAACACGAAAGCGCTCAGAAAATCTGAATGTGAAACCGCATGAGCTGGTGAGCTGGTGGCACGTCCGGCATGGATCTGCCGAAAGCTGGGCTTGCGAATTCTGAGATTCCGGCGAGTGTATCAAAGCGGCAACACATTCCCTGAGAGGCTCTCACTACTGGCGCTGCTGGTCGCCCGCTCAAGCCACTGTTGGGCCACCTTCAATCTATGACTGCCGGGCAGACCTCAGCATCCGAGAAAGCGTATAGCTGTGAACACTTTATGGAAGCATTGTCCTAGCTAGATGCAGTGGTTCTAGAAACCTGTTGGGCTTTACAGAAGCCAAGCTGCGATACAAATAGGCAAGGCGTCGCAAGAGGCTGGCAGGCCTGGCCACCCAAGGTTTCCGATCTAATTGCCTTCTGGCAACAGTATAGTTATCCCACTGCAGCATTGCAATCCATGTGACCGCCATGAAGCTTAAATGCCTTCCGCTGACGGCTGCCTTTGCTGTTGAAGCCTGCCCGACCTCAGCCAAGGTCTGCTACTCATTGCCGGTTGCTATGTTACTGGCACTTGAGCTCTTCAAACGGAACGGATGTGAAACCATCATAGACCATCCGAGGAAAACGAGTGCTAAACATTGCTAAGCTGTGTTGCCCGCACAAAGATTCATGCCCCCTCTTGGGAGCCGACAGATGACACCGTCCCCGACACAGCTCGTGCAAGAACCTTGCAGCACGAGTGTCAATGCAGTTGGCCAGGCAGCCCTCAGCAAATTATCTTGTTGAGAGACCCCTTCGATAGGGAGGGTGGGGGGGAGGGTTGTTCGTGGGGGTGGGGGGGAGAGGTTGTCGAGTTGTTCGAGCAACAACAACCAACAACAAGATGGGGGGGGAGCGTTGTGCCAGCGCAGTATCATTCCGGACACGACCTGCGAGGAAAGCTGGGTGCGCTACCGGCGGCAATGCTGGCGGAAGCAGGTTGCCAAGCTGTGTTGGCTGAACGACGCCTGCAGCCTCCAGCTGCAGGCTGCAATCAAAAAATGAAACACATCTGCAATTGAAGCCGCTGAATTGCCTCTGTGCTGCCGAGTGCGATGAACTCACCCATAGCGTTGGGCTTGAAGCGGCGCCAAAACGGACGTGGCCTTTGCTATTTCGGCACCATGTCTCTCTCTCTTTCTCTCTCTGCCTGCGTGCGTGCGTGCATGTGCGGGTGTATGTGTGTTTGTCTGTGTGTGCGTGTGCCTGCGTCCCTGTTTGTCTGTGAGGCCTGCACTGTTTCTGCAGGGATGTCAAAATCATTGTGATTAAATAATCGGCGATCAGCACAAGGGATCAGCATCGGAGTATGGAGACGAGATGACGTGTAGGAGAGGGGGGACAATTTGGGCCCCGAACAAGCACCACACAAAATTGATGGTTCGAATTGCTCAACCGTGCGGCCCATTTGCGTCTTCTTCGGTTCATTTGGGCACGATCTGCTTCCCAGACCTATTGGTCCCGGTCTTCTTCTTCTTCTTCTTCTTCTTCTTCTTCTTCTTCTTCTAGTTCTTGTGCTTCTTGCTCCCCAACCGTCGGGGATTCATCGCCATGTGGCTGCTTTCGTGGGTGTGCAAACATATCAAAACACCTTGAGTCTCTACGGTACCGGCAGGCTCTCCTTTTCTGACGAGTGGGGTGCCAGAAGTCGCTGGCCAGGCAAGAACGGAAGCAGGTGCAAAAACCCTCCACGCGGGCTTGCGCTTCCCTGAAAATAGGATTTGCCATTTGATTTGCCGCTCCTCTGCGAGTAGCTTGGGTTGAGTGTGGACATTTCTTAACTAAGCAGGTGTGCACGCGTGTGTGATTTACCGCACTGAGCTGATCAGAGCAGACAGGCGCATCTTGTGACTGCATGTCTGCTGCTACCCTCAGTCTATTTTCATTGCATCAGAATCGCGGGCTCAGGTCTGCACAAATGTGAGAGCTGGGCGAATACGTTCCATGCTGTAGTTTCAGCTTGCTGCATGGCCTTGGAAGTTGCTACGTCGAACCTTGGGGATTCCTATAACAACTCCTGGCAAAACATTCTCTTCTCAGCACATGGCAATCTGACCAGTGGGTGGTGAACCTCCTGCTGCATCACCGAGGCCTAGGACCCAGCACATGTCGCTTGGGAATTCGCAACACCGCCAGCAACAGCCAAAGGACAGAAGAGACCGGGGGCGATCCGGAGGTATGGATCTACCACCTCAGGTGTGCAAGAAATGGATTATGCTCATGCCTTGATGTGGGCAGAAAGGCTCCCGCCGCTCGGCCATCGTCCAAGGATTCCTGCTCGGCAAACACGCGAATCGCGCGAGAGTGCGGTGGAACGACGTGGCAGCCTCCTGTGCTGGCGAGACCATTGATAGCCTGGCCAAGCTTGAAAGAAAGTCCGGCCAGGAAGCTGTTGCTTTGAGAGAAACCATGAGGTGGGGAGTAAAACGGGGGCTGTAAGACATGTTGGGGGCCGAAGGGGGCAGAAGCGGGCGGGCAACGGAGAGGGAAGAACAAATGGGACAAACGCAGGAGTGGTGAGGGACCTCTCTGCTCCCTTACCATGGAGCCTCTGCTCTGTAGATACATCTGTAGATGCAGCCAGCGCCCCTGTTACGATGACCTCATGGTCACATCGGGTCAGTTTAGCCCGCCATTGCCCGGTGCAAGCTGACATGGAGCGATTGTGGGCCGGTGACAGAGACACGCTGAGCCTCTAGCGAGGTCGCACGAGTGCAGCTCGGTCGGCCTCTCTCTGAAAGGAAGTTTTGGCTATGCACCTCGTGCAGCTGAGAAGCACCTCGCCTCTCTGGGCCAGGAGACCACATGAGCCCGTCCGCCTTGCATTTTGCTACTTCCGTCACTGTTGCCCCCTGCACATCTGCACTCTCGGATTTCTTACAGTGGTTGAATTTAGAATCCGGGGGAAAGCGCACCTGCTTGTCTTTCTTTGTCTTGTTTGACATCTCTCGTATCAAACTTTATGCACGAAACCAAGTATAGCAAGATTCGATTGTCATATATGTGGAGTCCAGGTCCATCAGCACAACGCCGTCGTCGTGGACCCTTTACCTCAAAGAGAAAAGAATTCCACAAACGGCAGGGCGCCCCTGCCTCTCCGTGCAAAGATCGTGCAAGCGCATCGTGAATCGTAGCACTGATGCCAGCATGCTTGACCGAGCCCCGGATGACAGCATCATCGCGCGCGCGCGCGCGCGCGCGCGCGCGAAGGCCGCAACATCCACCTGCAACAGACAGTCGCCGCCCTGCAGGTCGGATCGGAGTTGCACCCTGTGCAGGAGGTCTGCTGCCAGAGTCCGTGGAAGCAGCTGCCGAACACACGACCGACGAACCTGCACGGCCCTCTTCTGCCCTCGCGCACACTCCCGGTTGCAGAAATCCACCTCCTCGAACCACAGGGATGTTTGGGAGGCATACGGACCAGGCGCCGATCCCCACAATGAGCCGACGAACGCTGAAGCCAGGCTGCAGAGGGACAATTTGCAAACCCAAGAGATGCTAGAGCATCCAACAGCTTGTGCGACGGCTTCAGAACAAGCCCACAAAAAGCCGCCCATCTGCGGGCACCGGAGCGTCGCAAGAGCAGTGGGTCGATCATGGCACGCGCACGGCGCTTTGCTCGCGAGGAACAGCTGAAGCGGCTCGGAGAAGTCGCCACTGGCTAGCAGCATCTCCTGAAGGTCAGGAAGTTGAAGACGGACTTCAGATGACTTCAGGATCTCGTGGTCTAGCAACCTGGCTGACAGGGGAATGAAATAGCTGCTCGAGTCGAGGTCCACAGGAACCGTGCAGCGCGAACGAGTCGTGGCTTGCGCTGGCTCTACGTGACAGCGCCCGTGCTGCCTGCGCACGGCATCTTCTTTCAAGCACGGGCGGAGCACGACCGCCTCACGGAAGAGGCAGGATTATGCGCACGCATATCTCATTGCAGGCCGGGGCCAAAGAGCATCAAAAAGGGGGTCATCAGCGGCCACGTTCGTAGTTGCGGCGCTTCTCCTCCATCTTACGTGTATCCTCGCATCGGCCTTATGTTTATGTTGTCAGTAGAATGCACAGCGGGCGGGATTATACATTGTTCTTAAGTTTAGATTCAGTATGATGAGCCTGCCAATAATGATGCAAAGACATGGAGAGTGAACGGCGCTCCTTATGTTCTTCTTGCGAGCGCTAGAAAAACATGAACGAAGCGAACTGATTGACATCATAAATGCCCTAAATTTCATTAAATTTCCAAATCTTCATAAGAATTTATGACAATATGAAGGCCTCATAAAAACGTTTGACACCTGCTGTTGTATAGGGTTCCAAAATGTGGGAGGCTCCTGCCCGAACTCGAGGGAAGATACATTTTTTCATGTAGATTGGGTGTCATGAAAATATGTGCCTGAATTCTTCACTTTGCGTATACTGAGAACGAGCAAGAGAAGAGAGAGAGAGAGAGAGAGAGAGAGAGAGAGAGCGATAGACGGCTAGAGAGAGGGAGTGGCAAGCCGTGGCGGCCTGCATTTTCCAGTAAACCTACGACGCTTCCCGAGTGGCAACCTAGAAATTTGCCAAATTAGAGTGCTAGGAATATTCAGTTTCCGCAGGAAAGACATTTTACTTGAAGATCTCCTTGGGACACAGGCAGCAACATTCTCCTCTAGATCCACAAATCAAAAATCATATCCCGAAGCAATCATTGATATATGTGGATGCTCGTTCAATACTTTGTGTTTTTGTGCCGGGGGATACTCGGCTTGATGACCCGCATGAGAAAGCATGGCGAAAAGTGCGCATCCGTAAGTCCCAGAAGAGGCAACTCACTCATGTCAGGCAAGTCATTGACTC